CCCCCTCCCTCCCCCTCCCCTCCTCCCTCATTCGGTCTTAGTGATGATAATTAACGTGAGAAACATCTGAATTGCTCTATCGACCGGGCTTTTGCGTGGTCTTCCCCCTTTTAATAGCGAGCTTGTTTGCGCTAATAAAACAAAGCCAGGCGAACGCGGGGAGGCTCTGCGCGGGGGCGAGGGGGGGATTGGAAGGAGGGTCTCCGGGCGGCGTTTCCCTCTCGGCCGAGCCCGGCAGAAGCGGGAAGGAAGGCGGATTCTGCTCTGGTCAAAAAGGGCCGGGACCCGGCGGAGAAAGAGTCTCGGGGTCGGAACCGGAGGCATCCATGGGGCGGGGGTGGTGGTGTTTCTCCCTCCCCCATTCCAGCGCCTTTTATTGGGAAGTCAACCCCATTGATTGTAGCGGGATTACCCGCAAAGAGACGTCTTTGAACTCTGGGGTTTTTCTTCTGCCGGCCTGCCTGGTGGCTCCTTCAGCCCAAAGAGATGCTGTTGTTGTTGTTGTAGTTTGGGGCGGGGTGTCAAAATAAACCTTGGAAGCTTTCTCTCCCCCCCCTCCCCCGTTCCTTTTTTGGCGTTCAAAAATGCCTTCGCAGTGATCCGAACCGCTGGCTTGTGGGCCCCGCTCGGCGCTTTACACGAAAGTCAGCCCCGTCTGAAGCAATTCGGCCAGGGCAGGTGCCTACAGCGGGCGAGGGACCCCCGGCTCCTGGGGAAGGGCTGAGGAGACCGCGCGCGCCCCTCGCTCGCCGGGGAGGAATCCGAGGACTTCGCCCGAGTTCAGGATGGTGGATCCGGCGCCGCCTTCGAAGCCGCCCGCTTCCTCCGCAACAAGTGCTCTCGGAACAGGACTTCTAGCTCTAGAAAGATCCGATTTGAGGATCCGATTTGACCATCCTACGGATACAACAGCTGCATAGACCGGTCAGAAAGATTAGGGAAGCGTACCAAAGCCCCCCGCCTCTGAATTATTAAAAGCTATTTCAGCGGCTGCAGAGAAGTGGAGGGGGGGGAGAAGCATTTTTTTTCATTTGGGTTGGGTAGCCACAAAACTGGATCTAGGCGGAGCGGGTGGGGGGGGGGGGGGAGATCAGGGAGTTTAAATTAAATTTAATATCCTCGAGCTTTTGACCGTTTTCTACCCGGAAAAGGGAAATGTCACCTTTGAGGAAGGGGAGCTAGTCAATTTCACAGCCGCCCGCCTGCCCGCCGCAGCTCTCTGGTCAGTTTCAAAAGCCCCGAGCGGGCTCTCGCGGAGAAGGTGGCCGGCTGTCTCGGTTCCCGTCTCTTTTCTTCTCTCTCCACGCGATTAAAAATTCATGCTGAACCCCCACAGGGCGAGATGGGCCGCTGGGCGGATTTCTTTACATATTTAATGTCTATTTCGGCGGCTCGCCCGACCAGAAATCTGCCTTTTTAAAAAGAAGAAGAAGAAGAAGAAGAAAAGGAAGAAAAGCCAGTGGCAAGAAAGAAAGAAAGAAAGAAAGAAAGAAAGAAAGAAAGAAAGAAAGAAAGAAAGAAAGAAAGAAAGAAAGAAAGAAAGAAAGAAAGAACCTCGCTGCCTTTCAGGCGAAGTGACGGGTTTCTGCCCTGTGCTGCAGCCGGCGTCCATTCGCCTTGCCTGGGAGAGAAGAGGCCATTTAATTGTTTTCACCTTTTGCTTTAAATTTCACTTATGCAAAGCTAGAC